AAATCCACTTACAGGGCTGGAACAGACCTGCTGATTGGCCCACAATAGGCTTCGTATTAGGCAACAGTGGGAACGCAGCGGAAGGTCTTGACTGCTGCCATTTCAGAGTGAGGATGTTTCTCCCACTGATATACATCTAACGCCTTCTGCACCTCGGAGGAAATAACAGTGTGAATCTGCGCCTCAAATCAGAGGGACAATCGGATAACCGGGAAAATTAAGTTATCGAACAACACGTTAATTCCAAACCTTGCTTTGTAAAATCACTGATCTGCAGCAGTGGCTACAGAAAACAAGTTAATAGAGCGAAGCGATTTTTAGAAGCATTAACACCTGTGTCCTGAATGCTGACTTTATTGGTTTATTTCAATTACTGCTCTCTGTTTACACATGGAGGATGCATCTTAAAGATGTGCAGAGCTGTTAAAGCACATCTTGCGAAAATGAAAGACAGGGCTTTCCCTTTCAGTACACCAACCCATCTGACATCTACTTCCTTAAAAAGGAAACCGTGGGCTAATGATTCGGTACATTTCCTCTCTCTTTCAGCTTTAATTGCCCTACACCAGAGCAACACGGCTTTTGGAGTCAGACGTGATAATCTCCTGGCATAAGCATTAGAATGGAGGCTCACCTTGCTTTCTCGGGATGCTGCTGGTTGACATTTAACATCACAGAGAGAGGAGAGGTGGAGAGCCAGGTGCCCTACATGCACATTTGACCCCCTTCTAATGTCAGAGGGGGAAGGTCCCACACACTCATCCTTGATTCTCTCACACAAAATACTACAAGGGCACACGGTGCAAAGCATCTGTCTGAGTTTCCTGTTTCATAGGTTCATGAAGTGGGTGATGCCGTTAACCCAAAATACCAGATAACAAATTCTTTTTAATGCACTGGAATGTGGGTTTCTGATGTAAACAATGCGGTTGATTATGTATGATAGTAGGAAATATAAGGCTTTAAGCAAGCATAAAGAAACTTATAAATGTACATAAAAACAAAGTCAAATCCAGACTGTCCAATATAATAATCTCTGAAATGACAGGTATTGGTAAAGGTGTCAATTGAAGCGAAATTGAAGCAAAGCTATAGATGAATGATTTAACACTCAGTGATAAGCTTGATGTCTGTAAGGGAAGATGAACACTTTGGAGGACACACAGCCAGAAGGCCTGTCCCAGTGCAGATGACCTGGTTCTGCTCGCACGCAACCATGAAATAACAACTGCTGTTTGGTGCTGATGATAGCTTGGGGAGTGTACTGTCCCAGCTCGGGATAAGCCGGCGCATGTTACGATCAGGGATTGTTTCAAAAAATAAAAAGACAAAACAACATTGCGAAAGAGGGTATGCTGAAACACAGCGGGATCTATTGGTTCACTCTCTAAATGTGGAGTCTAGTATTCTGTATATATTCATGTAATATTCTAGCAAAAATAGTTTGTTTTTTAGATCACACCATTGTAATTTTGACATTGAATTCTTAAAAACTGCTGAAATGTGAGATGAATCCGTATTCATGGAGAAAAAGACATAAACATAAACATGGTTTAATAACATACGAGCTTATAACCTTTAGATTTAGAATCCAAAAGGACGATTCTTATTAATTTGTTTGCATCTTTTCTTCATTATATGCACAAACAAAAAATTACACTGCACACAATTTTGGAATTTTGTTTTAAATATTTGTCTTAGTTTTTTGAGAAATCATTTATTGAAATCATGAATATAATGCATTGAATGTATTTCTATTGACATTTTTGTCAGTGTGAAAATTGCTTGAGACACAAATCAATTATTGTACATTAGTTTGAGAAATGCATGAATATCAACTCAACAGAGCACAATGTTTCTTTATCCCAAAGCATATATGTGATGATTGTGCAGGCTCAGTCACCATTGTGTAGCCCCCTGCAATAATGGTGACTTAACATTGCTATAAATACAAATCTTCCGATTTACATTTTTAATTCATGCAAAAGCTTCTTGTGGTCCTGATTTAAATTATCTTTGAACACAACACAACTGAAAGAAATTATCATTATAAGCAACATTTTCATTAAATATTCCATTAATAAATATTGCATTTAGTTCTCAACCTAAGGAAACACACAGTATGCCTCCTCTTACGTGATACTGCATGCAGTACTGTGTTGCTTTTGGAACAAAAAGCATATTTTGATTATGCAAGAAAAAAGTACTTGTTAAGTGACTATTGAATACATTTGAGTTTAAGAGGGAATTAAAATGCAATTAAAAAGACATTCCAATTTGTTCAAACAATGACAATATTTGTAAGTTGCTGTCTCATATCTATCAGCACCACATCAGCACACATGAACAAATTGAAACATCCAAATGAAACTTCAAATCCCTTATTCTTCATTTGAATCCAAATGTGACTCAACAAATTCCTTCAACGTCTTTCTAAAAAGCAACTATGTTGCAATTATTGACCAATAACTGATGCATAAAAAAGAAGAAATACAAAGATATCAAACGAGCTTCCATGTACATTTCATGCAGAATGATATAGTCCCAAAAAGCAAAATCGTTTTGGCTGAGTCATTTTGGGGGTTGGGGGAGGCCTGATTTATGCAAAATATAAGGGGGGGATGGAAAGGCTGCAAGTATTAATGCATCTCGTTGCTAAAACTGATGCAACTACAAGGCTATAGAGCACAGAGCCTGCAGTTGCCTGGACCTATTTTCCTACATAGCACATTTTCGTTTCGATTTGGTTTCTAATTCCTTCCTAAAAAGACTAACACCAATGCTTGTTGGGGAGCCTTATTGTCTACAGGAACGTTCCAAATTAAATTAAAGCATGCTAATTTACCCGGCGCTAAATGTAATTTGATCTCGAGTAAAACGAAGTTGTTTCTTTTTCATTGTAGTGCATTCTCAATCAGGTGCATTTCACGGGCCTGCCCCGGGATGCTTTAGCCAACAGCGAACGGAACAGCTTCAGTCGGAAATGCTCGTGGAGAAAAAACGCATTTTCGATGTTTCGCCTTCGAGTCTTGCAGTAGTTCCCGTGCACTCGACGTGAAGACAGCCGTGCATTGGAAGGGCGTTTCGATCCCGCAGGCTCGATCCGTGCACCCCCCCCTCTTTTGTTATAAACGAAAGGCATCCACTGTGATAATGACTGCATTATTTTATGCAATTGTCATTGTGCGACAGAAAATCCCATTCCAGAGAGGTTGGACGCGAGACAGATGGACGGGGTAAAGTTTAATCATAAATCCAAATCCAGTCGGACTCTGCGCGTTTCCATCCGCCGACTAACTGCTGCGCAGGATCCCAACTTCCTCTGTTAGGCTGCAACTTTTACAAGCTTCCACTTCTGTCCAATTGATGGAATTTTTACCTGCAGTCCCTAGTTATTTCTCCCTCACTTCTTTCACCCCTTCAGGCCAACCCCCTAACCCGTTTTTTTCCAGGGGGAGGGAGGGGGGGGGGGGCAGTGGCAGGCTCTTGATTAATAAATGTTTATGTGTTTTGAAGTGCGGGACAAAAGGGGGGTTGGCCTGTGACCCCCTAGGAGCCCCGACCTTGCGCGGGTTCATTGTGAGGCGCTGGGAAAGGGGCTTTGGCATGGAGACCCCGGACCACTGACCCAAACACATCCCAGAGCTCTGCCATTCATGTGCGCACCGCTGCATGTCGCCCCGCAGCTCCCATTGTTTCAGCGGGAACAATACCCCCCCCCCCCTCTTCTCTGCCATAGAGAAAGCGGCTTTCAAACTTCCCTCTATGCAGCCTGACGCAAGCGCCGGCAGACTTTCCCTCTAACGCTTCAAACGGCTTCAAAAATATAAGGAAATGTCGACAAAACGTAAACGCCGTTAGCGGCATACAGCCCACGTTGCATCACGCGCCAATGTTGCGTCACCGCACCGACTGGGTTTGTTGCAGGCGTCAAAGGGCAACACTGTAACAGCGTGAAACAATGCAACAGTAACGGAGTGAAACTGAGGACGAGATAATGGATGTGCTGGAGGATGAGACGACGTGTGGGGGGGGGGTCGCAGCAAACAGAGAGGGGAATAACGCCTACAGGCAAAACAGACATGCTTGCATAGGTTGGAGGTAAGCAGGCATCGGAGGGCCCGGTGTGTTCCGCCTTGGCTGTACAGGGTTAGTGAGGTTACTCAAATGACATCATACATAGGGGCCCCTGGCTTCGATTGGGTCTTTTCCTGGGAGTCAATCACGGCAGGAAGTGAAGTGGATACAAAGAGCCGTGCAGGGCTACTTCAATCAATGGCTGCATCAATGTCCAACACCCAACCGCGTCCACCACACAGCCTGTGTCCTTTCATTCCAAAGATGCCGAACACCGAGAGAGAGAAAAAGAAAGAGAGAGAAAGAGGGGGGGGGGGGGGGCGCGTGAGCGCTAGAAAGGTGTGCAAACAGAAATGAGAATGATGGATTCGGCATTTAAATCTAAACAGGGAGAGAGTATTTGCATCACGGGCCTAAACACATTACAGGAAGATAGGAAAAAAATATATCTTGCTCAATTTATCTGGGCAGCCTAAACATACAATTGCATCCACATATTACAGCCTTGAGTTGCATTCCAGAAACTGTAACGCACTAATGGACCTCTCAAGACAAACTGTATTAAACGTGATTAATCGTAGTCGGGGAGGCGACGATCCCGCGACACACTCCTCATCCTTTCCCTGGATTATGGAATATAGCTGCACATATAAAACGACAACACATCTACTGTGAAGTGTTGCACCGCACTCTGAAAAGCAGTTCAGCAGCTATTGAAAATAATACAAAAATGTGAGAGGAGTATTCATATGAAACTCACAGGCTCTAGGATTTCCCATATATATATTTGCTCTGAAACGAGCGCGCATTTGTAGGCTATGTATAAAAGCGTGTGCGCGCGAGTGTGCGTGTGAGGAGAGAGAGAGAAAATAGAGAGAGAGAGAAAAGAGAGGGAGAGATTTTATTGTACGACCTGCCCTCTTTTGAAAAAAAAGCGAGAGAGCGCAGCCATGCTTTGCAGAGGCTACAGCATCGCTCTCATTGGTCGTATCAGCCCCTCGCCGAACGGAGCCTTCGCTTGTTCGAAAGGAACCGGGGAATACAAGCCACTGCCACTCCGCGATGTTAAAAGGTCCGCAGTGAGGCATTAATGCTGTAGCGAAGTGAAAATACCGCAGAGCACGGATACATGTTAGCAGAGCGCAGTGTTCTGGGATCCACCGCGGACCGAATTGTGGTGAGTATATGGGACGCTTACGCTCGCTTTTACGCTCGACCCCTTTGATCAAATATGCACAAGATGAACGCGTACTCTTTGCTTCGCCCGTTCGTAGAATATGCGTTTCAATGGTTCAGATGGAAATACGTATCATTGCGTGTCCGCACAACGTCGTTTGTTCTGTGCGCTTCCAAATGCACGCCGCACTTGCCATTGTTATTGCGGGCTTTGGGGGGGGATGAACCACTTTAGGAAGAGAGCGAACAAAAAGAAGGCACTAGGAGAAGAACAAAAATAAACACCCCCACAACTCCCCCAATTGGGGGGGGGGGGGGGGGGGGGGGTGCAGATCGCTTTGCGCCGACCGTTGCATAATCGATAAGAAGGGTAAAGGGAGGTTTCGGGGCCACATCGTTTGTTAGTCGCGCGGCGCTCAGGGACAATAGGGTTCGTGTTGCTGGCCACTTACATGGAGGGATCCGGAATATGGAGATGTGCTGACGAGCCGCGATGAGGCTCCCGACGACGGCCGATACGACAGATGCCGGTATTTTCAAGGGGATGGGGACGTTTCCGTCTAAAATGGCGTTTCCCTTTGTTTCTGCATCCCTCTCTGATCTCTGTTATAGCGAGTGGCCAATGCAATGCAATTACCACATCTGCACCCCTTCATGTCCACTACACGGCTTCCATGTATAGGGCTTATCATTTTTTTCTCTTTAATGTTAAAAACCCGGGCTGTCAGATGGAGTACGGTGAGGTTAGAGGCTCCGAGAGACTCGGAAAGGAAAGCACGATGCTTAATTATGATTGGAACGCACTGACTTCATTTGCATTTCGGCAGTTTTTAGCCTCCATTCGTGGATATGCAAATCCACTTTTTTTCTTTCTGTCGGCACCACCGCAGAATAACCTGGAGTACTGGCAGCCCACATAGAACAACGTAATTATGATGAAAGTCATTTAATCCTTTAATGCGCATCCGAAGCAAAACGTACCACTCGTTTACGTCACTTTGATGACAGATACGATACTATTGGCTTATTTAGTGACATTTTTCCAATCCTGTTCCAAGCACTAAAAATCAGTTCCAGCTCGTCACATCAAACGGTGGGCTCAGGATGACACGACCACCCCTCCCTCATCCCTATGTGTGTAAGCATAAGAGAAGCAGTGCACGTGCGCATGCCCGTGAACAAGTGCGAGTCTACAGCGTGCTTGTACGCACACGCGTGTTCTCTTCTGTTTTTTTGTAATACCCCAATGTTGCGTAAACGTCGACAACCAACGCCAGATTCAGGACCATTGTTGGCCAATCCTCTCCTGGCCCGTAAACTATCTCGCGCGCCCACGCACGCACGCACGCACGGGCAAACAAGTTCACAAACCAAACCGCGGGACCACTAACACATAAGAGCGATACACGTTAATACCCCGAATATGAAGTCGTCAATTTCCCTCCCAGTTTCAAGGACACGGGGCCGTCATGAGGAGGACGATGGGTAATATGGAAGAACATCTGTTTGCCCAGTGACGTCAACACCCCTCCCCTCTTACACCCCCCCCCCCCCCCCCCCCCTTCCCAATCCTCTTGTGCTGAAGGCAGATGCCTCATTTGTTAGGCTGGAGCACCATTAATCCCAAAGTCAGAGGAAAAGAGCGGACGGAGAGGCATGCGTCCCACTTAAGCGGTGTCAGTGCCGTGTCTCGGTGTCCCGAGTGAAGAGGCGCGTATCCGTCAAGCACCGCCACGTTCGGGACAACCCGCAGTCACATCGGCTACTTCGGCTGCCCCGTTTGCGGTTTTACGGCAGTTTTAACGTGCGGCTCGCGAGCCTGTGTGCGCGTGTGTGTTGTGTGACCAGGGAAATCGATATTTTTGGACGGGAACAGTTTTTTTTCTGTTTAATGGACGCCAACGAACAAGCCAACGGGGAGTAGGATATTGTTATCATCTGCAATTCTTTATGAAGTTCATGACGCATTATGTTTTTCCTTTTTTTTGTAGGTGCATTAAGGGATAATGGGGGACTTTGAATCTTCCTACAGTTTTGGACAAAGCAGTCGACGGAAAATCATCAAACGTAATCCATTTTCACCCGAAAAAGCGGCATGGGACTGATCTTTTTGGATCCGCGCTTGGGATTTTTTCTTTCTTCCGTTCTTGACCAAACTTGACATCCTGTTTTAGAGTTTTTAGTTGAGTAAACCTGCTTCAAGAGGCTGCACCATTATGTCATTTACACTTGTAATAACAGGTTCGACGGAAAGGTTTGAGGTCTTCGGCCGCTTCTCACAGCAAAGTGAATGCAGCTGGACACACACGACACATTCTCTCACACACACACACACACACACACACACACACACACACACACACACACACACACACACACACGCCCGAAAACACACACAGACCAGCGGGTTGTGTCTCTCCGTGTTCACAGCGGACCTTGATTTAATGTCTTACAATTAAGGCACGCGGTGAATGCCAAGAGATTACCCTTCTTTCTTCGGATATATTCCCATAACGCATCACAGCTTAAAACACATCTCTGGTCCTATTGGTGTTTCTTTATGAATGTTTGCTTCTGTCGTGTCAAACTGTCTCAATTTTGTACTTTCCCCCTCCCCCTGCCCTACAATAAAGGATATACACACAACCATTTTAGAGGTCGAATTTTTTGTTTAATCTGAACATGCATTGTGATGGCCGCTGTGTGTGTGTGTGTGTGTGTGTGTGTGTGTGTGTGTGTGTGTGTGTGTGTGTGTGTGTGTGTGTGTGTGCGCGCGCGCGTGTCGGTGGGAGCTGTCCGCCCTCACGCTGCCTTCCCGAGAGCGCTGTCCACCTTCTGTGGTGCTGAAATCTGCGCACCACCGATCACCTTTTTTTGTTTCTCTTGCCTGCCGTTGCAAAGACAGGATACTATTGTACCGGAGTCGAGGAATGCAACGTGGACCCGGTGACATATTAACTGCATAGAAACACAACGACACTGCGTACGAGTGATATTGGAGGGCACGAGAAACACCTCGTTGTTTTATCTAGCAGAAAGTGAAGACTTCAAAGAATCATAGCGAACAAAATGTGGAAACGGTGCGACTGGTGTAACTGGTTTCTACAGCAGTATGTACAAAAAAACCTTTAAATAAAACAACATCCGTGTTTAAGGGAAATTTACTGGCGCTTATTTTGAGATACTTGCCTCGCTTATCTGCAGGATAAACTCGTTATCATTCTGATCCAGCGACCCATTTTTCTTCACTTGCTTTAAGAAAAAAATTAAAAGCAGGTAAAAGCAAGTCCTGTTTTGTAATTCTGCCAAAAAAAACAACAATCTGAATGGCCTTGAATGACAAGTACACAATGATTGAGCCAAACTGCACATTAACTCCCATGGTGCAGTATTGAATGTAAATGAAGGGAGTGGGTTAAGGACCTCAGCAGATGGACACTCAAATGTCTGATTAGATTGACATTTGGAAACAAACCTTTGGAAAGAGCCGATGAATGCAGTATAGCTCGAGTCAATGAAATAACATCCTCCTATCTCAGTGTATCGCCTAGTGGCGTGCAGGGGCGCTGCAGTCTTCTATAGCACCAGAATTGCAGCAAGATATAAATACACTTCACACTATCTGAGTTCTATGAAAATCTATTGGGTTTGATGATGTCGCTTAAGACACAGTGAAGATGTACATGTTGTAAGTACACTTTGACAACAGAAAATAATCAGGTCTTGATTAATGCACATCATTGAGGAGAATGACATGAAGGGTGATGGATGGAAGAAGTGCCCGATGAGGGAGGTTACAAACAATTCACCAAAGTATTAATGTGTATTTCCTTTAATGCTTCAAAATAAGCAATATCTGGTAAAAACAATCAACGCTCGGTCAAGAGGAAGTCATCTTCGAAATACAAATAAATGAGTGAATTACTTCCTGTCTTAAACTATAGATAAGTGCATGAATGTGTGAATGTGGGGCTGCAAGTCTTAAAATGCTCCGAGTGAATGCCAATGCTTCAGGCAACATGCATCCGTTCGCGAGGTTAACAGAAAATGAAACTGTAAATTTGGCCAGCTGCAGAATATTTCGAGCAGCCTGCATGTCATGCCATGAATATGGCTGGACGTACAGCACCCACAAGACAAAATGTAACTTTCATATCAGGTCCCAACAGCCTGAGAGTCTGGCATCCACTGATAACCCAAATCTTCAAAGTTGAATAAAATCCACCAGGCTGCTATACAGCATGTTCATCAAGCCACCCTCAGCATCCGCAGCAAAAGGTAAAGTCATTGCCTGCCCTCTCGTGGTAAGGAATGAAAAAGCTTAATTTGGCTGCGTACGAGATTCATTTTAAATGGGCAATCAAAAACTAAATTGGATGAATTACACTGTGATTAATTATATCAGCCTGAATTAGGTAAAACTGAAATATGGACAGCAAAAGGCTAACAGATTTAACAGTTTTAATGCATCTAGTACAGTTTATACTTTACTAATACACACAGATCTGGAACAACAAGCATATTCACGTTTTTGCTGGCCTATCTGCACATGTTAACAATCAATCCTGTTGGAAGTTTTATTATTGTTCAAACGCCTCCGGTCATGCTGCGGTGTCTAAACTTCCTTTCTGTTCCCAATCTAAATTGACGCTTGTCCTCTTTTCTAACAGTTTTGCCTTCCGACGGTCTCTTCATTACCAAAGTGCTGACAGACTGCGGCTGTAATGGCTGTGCCACGGTCCCGGCCCATCTTGTCTCATTAGCCGGACCTGATTGGCCATGAAGGTGTTCTCTCTCGCTGTCTCGGGATGAAGTGACAGTCTCTGCCACTCGTTAGATCATAACTCCTCGGGTATTCTGCCCTGATGGCCTCTCGTGGCGTCTCAGCAGAGAGAGTGAACAAACGTTAATTGAAATATGCTGGAAAAGAGGTGAGGCACTGACCTTGGCTGTGTTGGGCACGCATTAGCCAATTGTGTTTGAGCCGCCGCAGCAAAAACTCCTTTACAATGAAGATTGAGCTCCAACAAGTTTCTTTCTTCTTTCTTGGAAATTAAATGAAGTAAAACAGCCCATATGTTCACAATTACAAGACCTATTTCTTCAACAAAAGGCTTACCGAGACTTGTGTAGTCCAGCTCAACCTGAGAGTCTTTTCAAGAGCTGTTTCTTAAATGACAGAATTGTGTCAGTTATTCTTAATCAAAAAATTACAGAACTGAATGCAAACAAGTTGGTGACTAACATCAATGTGAAGAAAAGTGGTGGATAGCAACTGCTATGAGGCAGAGGATGGAACACAGACCTGTGCAACTGACTGAATAAGTCAGACTGGAGATTTATTTAAAAGCTCCTGTTAATGTTGTCTGATGTTTTCTTCTTTTCAGGGAAGACAGTTGTCTGTACCTTAGGAGATTTTTCATAATCCTAAAAGGGTTTCTTGTAGATGTTTGACGTGTTTCAAAGTCAAGAACTCTTAATCCAAAGTTATGGAACCGCTAATGAGGCGACGCATACATGAACATTGAGTAAATTCCATTGCTTTTTAATTGGAAATATCTCAAAATCTTCTGTCCCCTTTTTCATTGTTATGTGTTATCTAAGGGTGTATGGATTCTTCTTCCATTCTTTTGGTCTTTGGTGAGTCATACTGAAGGGGGGAAAAGCAGACTTTTCTTCTTTTCTCAACAATATGTAGCTTAAGGTACTATCTGAGAACGTGATGTAAATAATCCATACCATATCAACTTCATTTTGATTGCCAGGGGTCAACTGTAAAGGTACCTTTGATATGAGCAGCACACATGCCATTATTGGCCATGGTAACGTGAAAGTGCAGTAAGATGTTTGTCCTTGGTGCATTGCAGCTGGTATCCGCTGCTATAGGGAGAATGATTACAGAAGGGATTTTTTGTAAAGGGGAAAAGGAATGTGTTCTTCATGCGAGCAGCGTTGGTCACATTGAAATTTCAGTGAACTGTGGGGTTTCCGGGACTACGGGCCAAACCCTGATACCCCCCAAAAACTTCAGGCCCCAATTTTGCAACACAAGCCACCTGTCACCACAAATTGACGTGACAGGTGTTGCCACCGATCAGTAGTTTAGACTCTAATAGTTGTACAAGTTTCTCAGCTTGTGAAAACTGACTTCATGTGTCGGTGCTGCTGCACTTTAAGAAGTTGTAGAAGAATACATTTGACCAAACTGTACACTGTGATGAGACTTTATTCAGTTTAATGAAATATTAAAAACCCACCATTGTTTAAGGTCGCCTCCTTTACTAAAAAGGAATCTTTGGAGGGTTTCTTTTCTCGGGAAGTTTTTCACCATTCAGTATAATTGAAAACCTTAAGATGAAGAATTTTTCTTAAGCCATGATATGTTTTGTTATGATGGCACACTAAGCTTGCAAGATAAAATAGATAGATAGATTGATACTTTATTGATCCCTCAAGAGGGAAATTTTGGTATAAAAGAAAGCGGAATAAAGCTTATTTGTAGATCCTGATGACGTGTGACTTTCCATTAACTGTGTGCCACAGTACATGACCCAGTAGATGGCAGTATGACCACAAGGAAATCTTCCCAGGAGCCCAGAAAATACAGAATCGTGAAAAAGGAATCCGCGTTCATATCGGGGGACCAACACTACTGGATGTTGCTTTTAATGACAATATTTCTGTTGAAGAATCTCTTGCCTTTGTTGGTAAATGTCTGTTTTTGAAGTCAAGAGAAGGTTTGGTGCCACACTTGAAAAGAGGGGCTTCTAAAATATGGGGAAAGGCTAATAAAGGAACAGCACTATAAATATGCGATCTGGATCTTACAGACAAACCCAATTAAAAAAATAACTAGTCTCTAAAAGACACACGAGAATGTCACACAACCGAAACAATGAAGCAGGTCTTTTAATGATCACAACAAGAGCTATACATTCACGCGCGCACACGCACAAAGGGAGAGCTAGAGCGCACGCGGTGTTGTTTGTCATCGTTTAAATGCCATTAATTAAAACGTTAACCTGATTGGGTGGAGAGTAAGAAAGGAAAGGGTGTCTCTTTCCCAATAGGCGAATCCCCTTTAATAACCCGCCTCGAGATAATGATGTAAAAAGACTCAGGCGTCTCGTGCGTAACGACGATCATCGTGGAGATCCGGTGAAGGTGAATCAGACACAGAACGAGGAGGGAGAGAGAGAGAGAGAGAGGGGGAGATAGAAAGAGGGGAGAGAGAGAGAGAGAGAGAGAGAGAGAGAGAGAGAGAGAGAGAGTAGCACTTTAATACATGAGTCTCCTCCTCGTCTCAACACCTCAGCTGACAAGTCGAGCAAACCTGCAACTTCAACACAAACTAAAGTCGTAAAGGACCAACAGAGGGAGAAACTCAGAGGCGCGCACAGCTTCCAGCAGCGACCGTTGCCTGCAACAACACGCGACTATGGACAGAAGGATGAACTTGAACACCGGCGCAGGGGACATTTTTCACAAAACTCTCAGCGCCGTGTCCACTAAAAAAATGGACCCTTTCAGGTCGTCGGCCGGCATTGAACTACCAGCCAGGGACCGTCAGTCACCCATCAGCTGCTTTGACCAGACCGATCAAGACTCGATTCAGCCGGGAGGACTGGCCGGAGGTAGAGGGGGGCCGC